AAAGGTTTATATATCGGTCAAAGCAAGTACATCAATTGGATTTGGTGAGGCTGCAAGTATTATAAGTGGGACTAAATTAGAAGGTAACTACTTTTACATTCTGCAATAGTGCCATTTCTGGAGCATATATAGCGAGCCATACAGTGTAATATTGAACCCTTTTGTAAGGCTTGAGACAATTTAGAACATTTGTCAAATCAGCCTAATCGCCACGCAGGCAACGATCAATTCAACTTGTACTGTGGTAATCTAAATTTCAGTATAGTTTTCACAGCAATATTAAGCTTGAGCGACTATATAGTTTGACCATTGTGTACATTCCATAAAAAAATGCGCAAATGCAGTAGTCAGTAGTGGTGAATGAGTTGCAACATCAAATTCAGTAGTTCTGCCGTATCGATGTATTTAATTAAAGCAGGGGAGTAGTCACCTGTGACAGGAGGCTTTAACGTTTTGTTGTTCATGAACAAGCATCTGCCCATGAGTCTTTGCGTTTATTCTAAGACATTATTTTTTTGTAGATGGTAGCATCGATGTCATTCTACCAATTCCAGAAGGGAGAAGCAATTACATATTCAAAGATAAAACCATTATAATTGATTTAGCGAAGCTGGCTGCAAATACTGATATAAAAAGTGATACTGATCTATTGTGAGTGAATTACAAAGTAACGAAAAATATTACGTAATAATATTATGTTAAATATTATAATAAATTTATTATTGGTATTTAATTATTGAATCGCCTTAATGCTCATAGAATAACTCTTAAACATTATCTGTTAATTTTAATCTGTTATAGGCAATATATCATAGTTGTGGAAAAGATTAAACTGAAGAAAAAACGTGGTATAACAGACAATCAGTATATATCGGCGTCATTTCCATTAAATGCAATTCCTGATCAACTTATAGTGGGTGATGGTGTAGAATATAATGGCTATCTCAATAAACCATTAACACACGGACAACAATATATCATATACGACGGATTAGCAGTTTATACTACAGGGGTAAGACATTTAAACGTGTATTACTGTACTATACTAAACCATCCACTATGTTGTCAAGTAACTTTAGCTTAAATTCAATGTGAATATTTCAAAATGCTAAATGAATTATGAATATCCAGCCCGTGAAATGTTAGGGCATTTCACTGAAGCAACATGATACATGAAAGTATACTGTAAAAATGCAGTGTTCGATTTTTGACTCATAGCGACGTAATATACAACGCGTGTAATATATTTTTTTTGTTAACATGAAATTAGAAAACGAGCTGCGTGACGACCGCCAGCCTTTATCAATTTAGACTAATTGCTGTTTTTAATTACAGAATCAGAGTGTTATGTTGCGGGAGACGGAGCTGGCGATGTTCACGGGTAAAGCTTAAAATATTTTTTTAATAAAAGTAGCGCCTGAATTTAAATGCCATTTATTGTTTTAGTTTGTACAAATCATTTTTATGACTGTTGAGAAAAAAATCATAAACGTTAACCCTTCTGATTTCTTTTAGTTGGCAATGTTAATGACGGAGCTAATCATCTACCAATAATAGTAGGATTGGTTGTTGCAGTTGTGATTGCGGTGTTCATTGTCGTGGTTATAGTTATTGTACGCCGTCGGAACACACTCAACAAACGTGATCACCGGCAAGTAGATCTATTGATTTTGATTGATATTTAATATACATATAGACGTAAAGATTTAGGTGAAACTATGCAAATAGTGTCGTTTATTCAGTTATTGATTGAACTGATCTC